GTAGGTAGCTTACTTTTTGACTCCTCCGTTTACCATTTTGGTAAACTCCTTCACTATATATATATATGTGTGTGTGTATTTTTTGAAGGCATTTAATCCACATCTTCAAGTACATGTCTATATTTCTTCTTCTGCAATTTATAAAATTGAATAGTTTTTCTTGTGTACGATAAGGATAATGCAACGTATCACATCAATTGAGAGATTTGAGTACTTGTACAAGGATAAAGTGTTATATCCTCAGAACCTTCCTATGTTTTAATTTAGATGGTGAGTAAAAATAATGTAGCAATGGTAATGGCCACAACAATGGTGAAGGTTAGTGGTGGTGCCAATAGTAGAGTGTGCTGGTTGGGGTGTAGGGGTAGGAGTGACGGTCGAGGAAGTACTAGTAGCAATAGTGGTAAAGACAGTGCTGACAATGGTGTAAGGTTAGTAGTTGCAGTGGTACGTGGTGACTATGGTTACGATAGTGGTGGTGATGGTGGTGACGATGACGATTAATGGTGCATGTATGGTGGTGGTCCCAGTAGTGGGGTGTGTTGGTTAGAGGTGTAGGGGTAGCAATAGTGATATGTGATTTGCAACAGAGCATTGTGGCGATGATGGTGGCAAGGAAAGTGGTAATGTAAGGTTGGTAGTTGCAGTGGTAGTGGCAACTAAGATAATTGTGACGATGGCGGTTGTGATGATGCCAACGACAATTACGCAGGTATGGTGGTGTTGATAGTGGGGTATGGTGATTTGAAATAAAGTTAGTAGCGGTGGTATGTGCAGTGGCAACGAGAACAGTGGTGATAATGGTATAAAGCTGGTGGTGGCAGTCACTTTGTTATAAAAGAACTTGTGTGTGTGTGTGTGTGTGTAGAGAGATAAACAACGTCGATTTTCCAAACTAAAGAAAGTATTAGATTAATTTTGGCATAGCCTTATGTGTGCTTGAGAATTTAACCATCCTAAAACCTCAAATTATCTATCACGGATTCCAATAGTAAACTGAAAGGGTAATGCTAAGGAAACTAAATGTGTATACTAAATTTTGGAAATTAAAGGATATGGAAGTTGATGATTAGTTTATTACTTAAGTGTTGATAAACGTGCTCATTCATTTTGATGACACATCATTTAGTTTGCAAATTTAATTTCTAAATTTAGTCGCCCTATTACCCAACCTAAAAACAACAATTACAAATAACCAACCATTTACTTCCATTTTTGCATCACGATATCTTATCTTTATTCACATTTCACACTCTCAAACCCACAAACAAACGAAGATATAAGCATCTCCAAGACCTTGAGACACTTTGGCACCGATTTCTACACTCCATTAATATTCGCCAAATCTCAAGGGCATATTCATGTTCCATCTCACCGCCAGCGTCACTTGAGTGCAAGACATTTGACGCACGTCGTGCCACCACGAGATAGCAGTCAGTATTGCTATGCCATACTCAGCATGTGGAGTTGAAGAGTGCACTCCATGAGTAGCATGAGCTTCCTCACTATGCAGACTTGGTGTTTGGGTTAATATTTGAACATTGAACTTAAATGAAGGGAAGCCCAAGGGTGCCAACTAAAAGGGGATTTGCCTGAAGCTCAGCACCAAGCCCAAAGGCAAATTGAAGCATTCTCAGCCAAAATGTAAGCCAGGTGCTTACTATTGAAGTGACAAGTGATGGAGACTAACCTACTACAAGCCACATAACACTTTCTAGTGGCATTCCAGTAAAAAGTTGATGACTCACTACCCCCCAAGTGCTTTCTGGTAAGAACAAAGTTACAATAGTTGGGCTAATTTGCCTATAAAAGGAGGAAAAGGCCCTAGAGACAAGGACACTCAACCAATCAAACAAACATACAAACTCTACTCTCAAGCCATATTTACATCCAAAAGCTGAAATCAACCTAGATTCAGTCATTTTTAGCGACAAGCTATCTCTTGTCCAGTTTAAAGCTTTACTATCTCCCTCAGTGGCGTAACATCGATTCCCTTGTGTAAACTTGTTTATCATCCATCCCTTTTTAGCATATAAACCCCTATTAATTCAAAGAGAAGTGATAGCAAGAGGTTTAACCTTGACAGACAAGGTGAAATCTTGCCCAACGCTCTTTGTTTGTTTTCTAAACTTGTAGATCTGTTACTTAATGCATTCTCCAGTATGTATTCAAGTCATATCCACATGCTTTCCTACTTTAAGAGTCTTATTTATATCTAGATCTGGTTAGTCTAATGAATATGTCTTCATTAAAAGCAATCTAGGACCAAACAAATGACTTAAGGGGCTCTAGACTCCCTTCATTCAAACATACAAGACTATGAACTAAAAGTCCTTATTTACAAGGCAAGAAAAAGAACTTAATGTGAACTTAACTCATCCACGACAATCATTTGATAACAGAAGTCCGAGCAACTTGGGGCGCAAGTAATCGACTAAAAACACTCTTGTTCTACATTTGCTATAATGAGATATCAGTGTCACGCCTAGCACTTAGTTATTTTTTATTGCGAGCCTCAAAGCCTACACCTAAGGCCCCACAAAGGCACATTTCAGAATTAACTTTGTCCTCTTCTTGTAGCACATCAACAAGCAAGAGCCCGACTACACACCCAAAGTGTCAATCCCATGGGGAGCTGTGCTGAGGTCTGAGGATCACTCTTCAGAGAAATCTTCACTCGAACACTTGGTATGCAAATTGGGTTTATAAGAGAGAGGATGAGATGAATGATCTAGAGAGAGAGAGAGAGAGAGAGAGAGAGAGGAACGAGTTTATCAAAGGGGTTGAGTGGGAAGAAAGAAAAATAAAGAGAGAGAGAGAAAGGGAGAGAGGAAGGGGTTGTCATGGGAAATGAAGGGTGAAAATAAAATATAAAATAAAAAATTGATTCTAATCCTTAAATAATATCAACTGTAGATAAATAAACATCTGGGGTGACAATAAATTTTAATTTTAGTCATTTGACACCATATTTATCGCTGCATTCATATTGCACATCAAATTTATTATTGTTATTATTTTTCAATAATGCCATTGTGTTAAGAGGAAATGTTTTTTTTACTGTTTTAATTGGTTTGTTACCGTATTTTCTTAGGAAAATTTTATTTGAATCCGTATAACTTCACTCTACACCCAACTTAAATTTAACATGTGAATTGTTATTTTTATCCTATTGTATAATTACCATTAAATACATGATGAAATCAACTATAAAACTAAAATTTATTAATAAACCCACTAATCAAAATCCCATTGCCGATTCTAATGACAACTGAGAGAGAGGCTCTTTCGAATTGAGGAATATGAAATAAACAGACAAAAGAACGCATTCTACATAATTCATGTATTTATATCATTATTATTACTATTGTGTGTACATGCATAAAATGGTTGTTGACTTTATTGGGTTTATACCATTATTATTACTATTAGTTTGTTGCTAATTACTTTTGATTCTCGTTTGAAATTGAACTAACATATTTGAGTATCAATTGTATCTACCTTCGATACATTTTCAAATATTTTTTTTTATTCTTATTACATGGATACAATGGCGGAGCCAGTATAGGTTTGTCCTTGACCCCAACAACATCAAAAACCCCATGTATATTGATTTGCATATTGTATTTGACTGCTATAAACAGCTGAAGAAACTAAATTACAATCTTCTCCTCCTACTTCTATTTTCTTTTGTCATATTTGTCTTATTTTTCTCTCTTCTTGTAAAAAATACTTTAGTTGAAATGCCTTGGCAGTCTTCAACATTGCACAGTTTCCTGCATCCACTGTCGACAAGTCTCTACAAACGTCGACGTATGTCGGCATAAACCTTCGGCATATGTTGACAGGAATTAGAAGGTGCCTACTAGATGTTTGACGAAATGGCCTAATAAAACTTTTTTGATTGATTATGATCCAATTATTTAAAACTCATGGCTACGCCGCAGGATATGATGTATAACATCATAATTTGTTTTTTTGCATAGATATGATATATAACATCATTATGCACTCTTCACAAGTGTAATTTTTCTTTCTAATTATAGAAATTTTCTAGTGCAAAATAAGATTTTTAGAGTGTTAATGACAATTCTCTAATATCTTACTCGTATATCTCAATTAAGTGTATATATATTCGGGAAAAAAAAAAGTATAGATCTTAAAAAACCGGCTAACTCTTAATACAACGATAATTTTTATTTTTATTTTATTTTTTTATTTTTTGAGGAGCCAATTTTGAAGCCCCCTCTCCCCGTTCACAAAAATCCCAAATATAAATTCCATATAATATGTCAATTTTCCTTTTTTTTTGCTTTTCTGAGAGAATCATCGATAGTAGACGAGGAACACCAATATGGTGTTTTATTTCTTCCTCATTTTATAGAATTTTCTACGCAACTAACACAAGAATCTACAACTTTTTCTTTGGTGGCGTCATGGCATACCAAAATTGAGGTTTGGAATAGGAATCACCAAGATTATTACAAAGTATTGTATTCCTTTATTTGCTCGTCTAGCTTATAATTTAGACTCTATGGACGGTGGCTATATTCGTGATTTCTCATTTTAATGCATTTTTTCCTTTTAAAAAATAATTATTTGTTTTGTGTGATTGAAGCGAGTGATGCTTCCTCCTTCTAAAATCAAGCGTTTGATTTGGTCGTGTGAGTTAATTCACGATCAGCAATGATAATGATTTTGTTGTCCCTGATTAAGTGATTCTCAAGTTATCTATTCCTCCTTTTTTTTCCATTTACCCTTGGTTTGCCATGCGTCATATATTATATATATAATTCCTTCTGTTCTGCCTCGCTTCAATGAACTTAATCGGAAAGTGAGTGTGGAATAAGAATACACCGACCAACTTCATGATGTGCTCCTTTTTTCCAACTTTGAATCCGAATTTGTTTTGACAATGCACGTGAATCTATCTCTCTTTATATTATTCCTCAATGGATAACACCCCAGCACAATATATAAGATGGTAGGTTCATGCATGCAGTATTCATCGCATTATAATTTAATACCATCTGAAGAAAAAACAATGTCAAATTTCAGCTTTTTCGGGTTTCAATATGGCACTCCAAGAAAGCCTCCAAACAAACCAGCTCCCCAAATGAGTAATATCTCCAAAGAAAGATCGAAAAGGTATAGTTTTTCAAGGCCTTCATCCCAAACAAAAGTGGAGGAAGTAAGGTACGTGTTCGATAAATTCGACACGAACAAAGACGGTAGAATCAGCAGGGAGGAGTACAAGTCGGCTCTCAAGACCCTGGACAAAGACATTGCAGAAGGTGAGATTGCCAAGACATTCAAGGCCCTTGACTCTGATGGGGATGGCTTCGTTGGGTTCACGGAGTTTGTGGAAATGTTCAACATGGGAAATGATGAGGCGAGAAAGGCGGACATCGAAAGTGCGTTTCGAGTGTTCGATTTGGATGGGAATGGGAAAATAAGTGCAGAGGAGTTGTCCTTGGTGTTGAAGAAGTTGGGAGAGAATTGCAGCCTTGGGGCTTGTAGGAATATGGTGAAAGGTGTGGACTCTGATGGTGATGGTTTAATTGACATGAATGAGTTTACCAATATGATGGGAGGCTTCAAAACACCAACTGCTTAAAGATATCATATATATAAGTAATCTGCTTCTAATATTTGTAAGGGAAGTTTGCTTCTGTACTTGAATAAGCTATATAAGCTGGATGTCTGCCTTTGCTTCTAACGAGGAAAATAAATACATCTTTTTTAGAGCATGTATGACTAATAAAAGTAATGAATTTTAGTGACCTCATCGCAGTATGCAAGGAAAACTAAAAGTTTCCTCGTATATAGGCCAACTTAAAAGTTTTTGTGCTCCTAATTCATAGGACCTGTGAGGTCGTCATGCTTGCCTAAATCAGCATCTAATATAAAATAGGTCTAATTAGATAAATGGTCCTTGTAGTGATAAGATAATGAAAGATAGTCCCGTGGTAAAAAAAAAAAAACTAAGATTTATACTCTTGTGGTGAAATCCGTTAGCAAATTTAGTCCAAAAATAATATTTCAGTTAACAATCCGTTAGGTAAGGGGTAAAACTGTGCTTCCCTCTTCTTCCTCCTCCCTCTGCGTTTATTGTTCATTTCATATTAACAAGTCTTGATCATGACCAAAAAAAACAAAAACAAGTCTTCGTCAAGAAAACAATTGAATTTCTGATAATCCTTATCGGACGTACCATTGAGAATACAATTGAATTGTTCATCAATGACATGAATCCGGTTTGTATAGTGGGTACGAATCGTGCCTCACCATATCACAATTCACCAAAGACTTCACCAAATCATCACTCCCTTCTTCCCCTCCACCACCTACAAGCCGGCTTTGTTTCATTGCTTTATTTTTTCAACAGGGAAGCAGTTAAATTCTTCTCCACACCCTTTTCTGCAACACTCTTGTCCTCCAAACCCGATTTCGGTACCAATTCGGAGCTTCCATTCCCGGCCGCCACCGGCGTTTTTGGGCGGTGATTCCCTTCTGATTGGCCGTAAAAGCTGTCGAATTATCAGAATTGTGGGTGCTGTCCCTCTGATTTCTCATTGTCGGTTCGGGTGGAGTTATTAGAGGTTTTGGCTGAACGTTTGAGGTCTGATTCGGGTTCAAAATTGTGGGTTGTGTTTGGTTTGTCAAAACAGGCGGTTGTTTATTCAGTGGCAGAGAGAGGAGGAAGAAGGTGCTCAATCCAAAGTAAATTTTTGCCCCTGGATTTAACCGATAATTAAGAAAAAAAATCATTTTTGGATTAAATTTGTAAATAAATTCTACTACGAAGGTTTAAATCCTAGTTTTTATTTAATTATATTTTTTTTATCACGCGATTATCTTTAATATTACCTTATTACCATAAGAACCATTTATCCGATTAGGCCTATAAAATATCATATAACTTTGACAAGTGTTCGTGTTTGCTTTGCCAGTTTTCATGTTTAAAGTATGATCGATCATCTTATGAATAAATCAATTAAAAAGGAGGACGTTGTAAAATAGGCTAACTATATGGCATCTTATGGAAGTTAAAATATAAAAAAATGAAAAGATTTGTTAGTTTGTTAGATTTTTTTGGTTTTTTCTAGTAACACCTTACGTAATATTGAATACATCCCATATTAAAATTTAATATTAAAGGATTTATATACCCTACTATGCAATGACAATTTCGATCTTATCAGATTTAAAAAAAAAAAATTCTAAATACACACCAAATCAATTTTAAAGTATATTTATCTTCAATTCTCAAAACCCTTTTCACCCTCCATTGTAAAAAAAAAAAATTCTAACCAATGAAACTAATACGTTGATTGAGATTTTTTTTTTTTAACGAATGAAACACAAAATCAATGTTTCAAAAACTTCTCATGAGATAAGACTCTATATTTTTCATTTTTTTAGTGATTTCAATGACATATCCCTATATAAAGTGAGAGATTAGTCGATAGAGATAATTTAGGATAGGATCATATTTGTTTGATGAACGATGATACTTTAAGTAGTTCGAATTTGTGAATTACAAATACTGCAAATACTTGTATGCGATTCCCAGGAAACCATAATATTTTGTTGTGTGTTCAAGCTCTTAGAAGGAATTTAAGGTTTTATGTCATATTATTCCAAGTGCTTGCAGTCATGGGTTGTATCTGCACCATGGTCATGCATAACCTTCCCAACAATTTCAAGAGAAAATAATCAGCATAAGATATTGTGATTACTTTTCTCCTTCTTTTCCCTTTTTATTGGGTTTTCTCATACCCTCCATACTTTATGCATGGTATTTTCATGCATTCCCATTTTTGTGATTCAAAACGAAATTGTAGAAGTTCGAGTTATCTGAATACATGAACGGGGAAGTCTTCTGAAGTGAGTCTTTATATGCAGTGAGTATTTTGTAGTCAAAACCCTTGATAGTAGAACACTTTGAGATGCAGACACCAATTTGCTCCTTAACTTACTTATATCTCTTAGTTGATCGTTTGATGACCTAATTTAGATTGTTGATCAATTCCTACCGGTCATCAAACCTTAGTTGCTCAGAGAGGGTTTTACTCCTAAGTCAAATTAGTTTACAATAATTAAAAATGAGTATTATAAGATGTGAAGGATGTTGGGTGTATGTAGAAAATATAAGGTGTATGTTGAGAATATGGGGTATGAGGGTGTTATGGGAAATGATGTGGGGTGCATTAAGATAATTGTTAATTAAAAAACAAATATGAGGTGTATTAAGTTTGTGGGGTGTATTCAATAATATGTGGGGTGCTAATATAATAAGTCATTTCTTTAGACACGAAAATTAACTTAATGTCATTGGATTTGATCTGGACTACTCACAACCAATGAGTCCAACCAACTCATTGGTGGAAACAATAAAAATAAAAATAAAAACTCATTGGTGGAACCAGATCATAATTGAGCCGTTAATTAATGAGCAAATGAAGGGAACAAGAGTTACATAATTTGAATTAAACCTAGGTAAAAGAAAATTTGTTGATGCTATATGGCACATAATGTTGGGCGGTGAAGCATCAACACGTACACAAAATGGGTGTAGCGGAGATGAGGATGCTTCGTTGGATGTGTGGGTACACGAGAAAGGATAAGATTAGGAATGAGGATATCCGAGGTAAAGTAGGAGTAGCCGAAATTGAAGGAAAGATGAGAGAAAATCGGTTACGGTGGTTTGGACATGTGCAAATAAGGCCTACTGACGCTCTGGTTCGAAGATGTAACCACGGGATAGAGGTTCAGGGCCAAAGGGATAGAGGAAGACCTAGGAAAACTTTGGAAGAGACCCTAAGAAAAGACTTAGAGTACTTGGATCTAACGGAGGACATGACACAAAACCGAGCGCAATGGCGTTCTAGGATTCATATAGCCGACCCCACTTAGTGGGAAAAGGCTTTGTTGTTGTTGTTGTAGTGTGTCATCTCTGCCCATAACTATTCCAGAAAATTCAAAAGATTCACGCGACTTCTTCCACATAGCGTCTCTAGCATCTAGAATTTTTCCAAATCAGCGGCGGTGAGCTATTGTGGATGCGTACTTGCTTCCACACAAAACTAGCAACAAAATTTGTTCGAAATCTAGGGGTGAGGAAACCAAAACCAGCAAGGGCAAAAATTCTACACATAGGCTTCGACGTGAAAGCTTTCTCTAAATTGACGGTGGCAGTCTGCATACTTAGGTTTGACTAACAAATAACAATGACAAGAAATTTGGGGTTGTGGATTTGACTTTAACAACAGTAGAAAGCCTGGTAAGTACGGTTATTATTTGTGTTTAGTTTGTTAAATTAATTTAGTGTTCATGGTTAATTATGCATACTTGTTGATGAAATTTGTCTAAATTCATAAAGCTTTGTTTAGGATTGATGTAAGTTTATGAAGACTTGTTGACAAGTTGTGTTTATGGATTATGTTGTTGATGAATTGGATTGAGTTGGAGTTATATCGTTGACTTGGGTTTAGTTGTGTTGATGAAAAATTGTTGAAAACTCCGTTAAGTGTGTTGAGCAAAAATTGTACATAATATGTAAACAAATAATTCCCTCGACACAATCTCACCCTCGTTCATTTTTTCGAAGAGGGTTTTATTAGTTTGAGTTCGACCCATTCTAGGCTACGCGCCTATTAATTACAACCTTTCTTTTAGGAAAGGAATACCCTTTGATTCTAATATGAATAAATCGTAACTTGAGGATTTGGGTGTTTATTTGATTTTGTGACTGCATCTAGGTAGAACCTTAGATTGCCTACGTACCCTCGTTAAGGGATCAAGTCACTTGTAGTTCCTTGTATGCTTGATACTTGTTTGGATTTGATGCCTTATGCAGTTTTAGCTCATGCGGGTGAGAACTTTGCGCCATTGGAGTGTTTAATGCCTTGTGTAGTTTAGGCTCTTGCAGGCGAGAACTTTAAGCCATTGAAGCTTTTAATGCCTCATGTAGTTTAAACTCGTGCAGGCGAGGACTTTAAGCCATTGAAGTGACTTTATAAATTTGATATGGTTTTATGCCATTCTGAAATTTGATACAGCTTTGTGCCAGTTAACATAGCTTCATGCCATTTGAGATTCTGTTGCGGCTTCATGCCATTTGATATTTGACTTTTTCTTCGGCTTTGTACTATTTGATATTTGATACGGCTTCGGGCCATTGGGTTTTGTCGCAGCTTCGTGCCATCAGAATTTAATACGGCTTCGTGCCATTGAATCGGCTTTTAGCCATTTGAGGCAGCTTTGTCCCATTTAAAGTGGTTTTGTGCCGCTTGAGCGTAGAGTAAAATTAACGGGTTTATTTCTGATAAACCCACTAATATTTTGGCATTTGACTCTAGCTTGGTACCATTTCTTACTCCATGTTTAATTTTACTTTTCCTTTGCAGCTTCTTTCTTCTAACAAATTTGTAAAGAATCATGCTTGGAATAAAAAAAATATTTCCTATGTTCCTTCACGGGATTTATCCCACAAGGGTTCTGTTCAAAGCAGCATAAGTGAATTTAGTTTATATAAACTAGGGATTCGTCTTGATTTCTTGGTTGCGTATAAAATTTAATATCAGACTGCCTACATATTCTTAACGGAATCAAACCAGCGTAGTTCGTAAATTTTTTAGACTGATCGCGGCTTTGTGCCACTTGAAATTTGGAGCGCGGCCTTATGCCATTTGAATTTGGAATTTGATACCGCTTTGCACTTTTCTTTATTTGATTTTAAAGGTCTCCAAGTTCCAAATGGGACTTCTAATTTCAATGG